TGCGAGGGAGAATGTCACCCTGCCTCCTGCTTACTTCCTTTCCTCACACTTTTCCTTAAAATGAAGTTTTTGATTTTCAACTTGCAAGTTCAGGTGCAGCTATATGATAATATTTATGCATCTGTATACAATATGATTATGTGTTGGTATCAAAAAACCTTAATTAAAATATTTAAAAAATATTTGGTGAATGAATAAAATAGTACTAAATCATCATGGCTCTGCTCAAAGACTAGTAACAAACCACATGCAGTGTGCTTTGTTCTAAACTCTTATTTACCACATTTGATTTTTTCTCATCACAAGTTTTAAAAATCTCTGATCTTTCATTAGAGTTATCTATATTTTAGACCTCTTGTTTACTAGATTGTACATTCTTAGTAAGATTCATAGCTTGCTTGTCCCCTTGCCCAACCTTGACAGGTTTTAGCTATCAGTGGGCCAAAGAAGTTCCTAATAAACACCTGTGGGATTGATTCCTCATTAAAAAAAAATAAAGGAATCAGGCAAGAAAATTTCCTTGATCTCTCCAACATGATGGTAATATAAGTACTTGAGAAACAGTTTTACTGCATCCTTATTCGCAAGCTATGTGTTTAAATATCTTTCTTTCTATGACTCATCTTGCTGAAATAAACATCAGGTAACCCAATATTCTGGACCTTTTCTGCCCTTTTATGATACAGATGCATACAACTCAGCGTAAAGCCCTTTTTGTGCCCCAGTGTGCACATTATCTTAAATGTCTTAAGGCAGAAAATAGATTTGGTGATATTGATCCAGATGTTCCCATGAATTTACCTCATGGAACTCTATTAGTCTAGGTCCAGCCAGAGAAATAGCACTACTATGAGTGTTACAGAATCAGGGATTTGTTATAGGGATCAGACCTTAAAAACCTGTGGAAGGAGCCAGATGGGTGCTTGTCAAAAGGGAAATTGGATAATGGGAAAAGAGTTATTAATGTTCTCTTAAAATACTTTCATAGGTGAGTTTGCTGGAAAATTTGAGAAGCTAAGCATGGTCAGCTATTGAGGTGGGAAACACAGCAAGAACTAGTGCAAAAGTCTATAGAAACCTGCTGTATCTATGGGTCTACAGCCAAGCATCCAGTAATGGCCATTGGGCCACCACTGGTCATCATGATCAGCAGTCAGGAAAATAAGCTGAATTCATAGTGGAAGAGACTAAGATAAACAGGAACTTGCTGGTCAACTCTGCATCTGTCTTTCACTGTATCTCACTACAATGATTTTAGAGAGCAATGCCTATTGCTTCACTCCCACATTCTAAGTTTTTTTTTTTTTTTTTTTTTTTTTTTTTACCAGCAAATTTAGAACCACATAAAGAAGAGGATTTTGGGAACCCTGGCTTCCAGCTTAATGATATTGATAATGTAATTATCCAGCACAATAATAATGATAGTATGTAAAGGAAATGTATATACAGTGGATTGCTAAACAGTGTCCAACATGGTTGGCATTTGGGGGAGAGAACAAATACATCCAGCTACTATATACTTTGTATCATCTGATGGTCCATTTGGATTCAGCTATAGGTGGTAAGGTAGACTATCTCTAAGGAAAGCCATACAAATATGTTTATCTAATTCCAATCATGTGACTTACACTGTCTCCACCAAGAAGTGGGTCCTACGTCTTCATCCTGTGAATTTAGGTTCTAATCAATTATGGTGGAAGTGGTGTTGTGTGACTTCTGAGGTTAAGTCTAACAGAGATGCAGCTGTGTCCCTTTCTCTCTGTCAGGATGCTTTCCTATGGAGTCCACCACCATGTTGTGAGGAGGCTCAGACCAAATGAAGAAGCCATTTGTAGATGCTTTGAGTCTTCCAGAAAAGACCCAGACACCTTGAGAGAAACAAGCTGTCTCTACTGTACCCTGAAACTTCCTGATCCACCGAAACCCTGAGAGGTAATGCATGATTATCATATTTTTAAGTCACAAAATTTTGGAGGTGACTTTTAAATGTATCTATAGATAACTAATGTAGGTAGAACCTGGAGGGCTCCTCTTCCACCTGTCTCCTCAACTCACCTTCATTGTATACCCCTTTGCCATCCTTGGTGGTTCCATCCTGCTTCTACCAAGCTATATCCAAGGCTATTGGGATCCATTTTTGGTTCTTTCTAGGAAAACTCAAGAAATACCCTTATAGTCATAGATTGTAACTCTTTCAAACCAATGATCTTCTCTTAGTAGTAATAATCCCCTCTAACAGCATGACTTGAATATGTTGTCAGGTTAGGTAATACATTCCTCTCCCAGGGCAGGAACTGGCACATAGTTTTTTGAATAAATAGTTACTATGACTTAGCATTAAGAGAAGACTGACATGGCTTCATGGTGGGCTTGTTGAGGCTTATGTTAAAGATGGCTTAGGTGGTGGATGGTCCAGAGACTTTGCCCCATAGGAGAGCGGTTTGAGAGATCTAGATTAGGCATAGTCACAAGTAGGCAGGTCTACTGAGGCAATCCAGGGAATCTGTGAGGTCTTAGTGGAAATTTAAGTAAGTGCTGTCCTCATGGAACCAGTGGAGTTTTCTTGATTGCTAATAACATCAAGTTTTAAATCATGTGGCCACTATGATGAGCAGCACTGTAGCCCTACAGGTACCAATTCACATGCTTCACCAACAGGCACTACCATCTGTTTACTAGTGTGGAAAATCAGAAATGAGAACAGAGCCATCCTCAGATAGACTTTATTAACAGTTCTCCAAACTATTCTCGTTCTAAGCACCGTAAGTAACGTGAGCTCTGACTGGGAATTTTTGACCAATTAATATTCAAACTCTTTCTGTGGGTAATATTAACACTGAGAATGATTTTGCTGAAGCTGGTTGAAGTCTTTGTCCTAGAGTCCAAGAATTTATGTTTGAATCTTAGAACTACTCCTTGCTGTGACAATGGGAAACTTTTTAGTCACTGCAGACTTTTGTTTCATTATCTTTAGAGTGAGCCTAATAATAGCATCTGGGTTTACTGTGTAGATGAAATGCCATCAGACATTAATTCATATATGGCATTATTTTTTTCACCTGGCACACAGAAAGCCCTCATTAAGTGGTAACTCTTACTAATACCATTATAAATATATTCCTTCACAAAGGTACTTTTGATTCAGTTGTCCCTTGAAAACATCAAAGCCTTTCATTATGATGCATTTAATTTTCATACTTTATGATTTTTCTACAAAGCAAAAAACTACAAATTAATCATTTAAGTTTGATCTCCTTCATAAAGGAACACTTCCATTACATTCATATCTTTTCTTTCTTGGAATTTCTGTTTTATTACTAAGACATGTGTCATCATATTTAATTTATAACCTCTTATTTTTCTCACATGGTTCTGGGTGTGGTTTTGATTCCTTAATAAAATTTTAAGTACTTTGAGGAAAGATGTCTTACACCACATTTGTGCCATCTTAAGTATTCTAGATAGTTCTAGGCAAAGAGTTAGACTCAAAAAATAATTGTTGATTTAGCCTTTTATTTGGAAGGTAATTAAAATAACATCCCTCCACTGAAATGGATCAAAAGAATAGCTCATGAGATGTCACTGACAGCTCTAGGCTGGGTCCAGAGAGAGATGATCCCTGGGCTTCATGAAGACCTAAATGGATTCTGGCTATATATCACAGGTGCACAAGATATATGAGGTGCCCAGCACACATTCAGTAAAAGAAACTTGTGTAAGCTAACCCAATGATCACATGGCTTCTGTTCTGTCCCTGCCCATTGCTAATCCAAAGTCAGGGAGATATATCTGGAGAGGTGGGGATGGATCATATGCCTGGCTGTATGTCCACACATTAACAAGGTTTTTCTCCTTTCCAGTAACTCCCAGATTTCTCAGAAGACCAAGGACTAGGGTCTGGACTAGAATAGAAAGTTGACAGACAACAGAATGCCATGCTTAAGAGGACTGAGAGAATGGAAAAACTGATCCACAGGAGGTCCACCCTGCCAATTCAGCGGCAGTTGGAGGAAGTGCTTTCAAAACATAATGTGTGGAGGCTGGCAGATCAGCACAGGGAGACATGCCAGAGCTTGCAAGCTCTCTATCTGAGACAGGGTGGATTCCACCTGGCTAAATCATAGCTTTCAAAAGCTATGGTACCTCCCAACATCTGTATCACTGCCAATCTTTCATTATGTATGATCTAGATGGACACTGTTAAGGGAGAAAGCAAAGACAAAATAGTACGGGTATACAGAGTGTTAGTATCCTGGTTTGTAGTAGCTTTCAAAAATATATCATAAATATACTAATTTGTAGTCCTCAGTGGGCTCTGGGTCAAATGATAAACTCCATGAATGCCACTAGCATACAGACATTAGGCACTTAGGTTTCACAGCCCTTAATACTTGCTTATATCATTGAACATGTGAAGAGAACATGGCCATGTTTCTGCTGCATCCTGAATCAGTTTCATAAATGACACACTCTGCAACAGTGCTTTAAACAACCATTAGCACACAGTGACTATCCTATAAAGGGGCTGGCCTGGTTTTTCTTGATTGGGAAGAAATAAACCTGTTCAGCCAGATGACTTCATCCTGATGACTGGGAGAAAAATATAGCAAAATACTAATAAACACAAGAATGATGCCTGTTTCTTGGGGGAGACTAATACGGGAGGGAAGGGTTATGAACTTCTTGGAAGGTATGAAATAAAATTTTGATTAACACAGAAGGATTTTTAACTTTATGCATAAGGTAGCTAGCTGGTTGAAAAGCAAACAAATTCATTAGCTTGAAAAGACTGAAATTATTGGCATTCAGCTGAAAGAGAAAACAGAGACACTGTGATTTGGAAAGAACAAATACATTATGTTTATTCTGTCCCATGCATGGACATCTAGTTTTCATAATACTTCACTAGAGTACATTATTTTCATAATACTTCCATGAAAAAAAAAGTGGAAAAGGGCCTAAGCTTTGTTTCATAGGAATCAGAATATGCCCCCTCTTACCTTAGTCCTGCCAAACACACACACACAGTCTCCACACAGTTACCACAGAGTGATGGGAAATCCTTAGGAATCCACCTGAGTGAAAAAGGGAGACCAAAAATGTTTGATAATTCAGTGAGACAATTTTCTTTTCTTTACTATCAGCTTCAAGTTCCTCTGTCTTTCTAATGACAGATCTGTGATCAAAGGACCCCTGAAAAGTCTTGTAAAGAAAACCTCACACTTGGACTTGTCATACGTGTAGGACAATGAAGAGGCAGCAGCACGGAACAAAACCTTGTCCTTTTTTTCCTGTGAGCAGGGATCTTGATAGACTCTCAGACTGTGGGAAATGTTACTTCTGACTTCGACTCACTTCTTAAAGGAATAAAGACACAGCCCATTTCCTGCCTGTGGGGTGGCAGAGAAGTTCACACTTCATGATACTTGGATAGTTCTAAAATCATTTTTTAGGACTTCAGAAACTTGTATGAATGTTCTGAAAGATCACTCCCTGGATATTTGTGTCAGCAATGCTTTTTTAATTCAAAATTTCATATTGGCAAGAAATTTAGGACTAGATTTTTATGTAAACTCAATTAAGATCCTGGATTAATAATCCTAATAGTCTTGGCAGATGACTTTCTGGAGAAACATGGAGCCATGAAGCCATGAAAGAAAGGTACTTATTTTACTGTATCTGGGGAAAGCCAGAACACAGCAAAAGCTCAGCTATTTATGTCAAGTTAAATTCCAAATAGATTATAATTTACAGTAGTGTAAAAAATTATAGACTAGCTATTTGTAATCTAGGAATAAGAGGGAACTTTCTGGACATGAGAACTAAAGCTGAAATCCAAAAGAAAACAATTTTATGTGAAAATGAAAGATACACTCCACATTAGAAAATATCATAGGTGGGCTGGGGTTGTGGCTCAGCTATAGAGTGCTTGCCTCGCATGTGCGAGATCCTCTTGCAACTACTGACTGAAATACATAAATAAGTGAAATAAAGATAGTGTGTCCAACTACAACTAAAAAAGAAATATATTTTTTAAAAAATACCGTAGGCAAAGTTGAAAGACAAAAAGTACATTACATGACTTTGTAATATGAGGAATTATAAAAGGGGGTATGTAAAATCAGCAAGGAAATACAAACACTTCAGGGATAAAACAGAAGAAAAAATACAAATGGCAAATAAACAAATGAAACAAAGTCAAGCTCACTATTGATGAAATAAATGGAAATTAAAAGAATGCATACTAACTTTTATTAGTGGAAAATATTTTTTAAAAATTGGTAATAACCAGTCTAACACTTAGGGAATGGGCCATCTCGTACACTGTGGAAGGGAACACACAATGGAACCAATTATAGAAGGGAAAATGTTTGAATCTAAAATTTCCCCTGAAGTCTCAAGTGTTGAAGGCTTGGTCCCCAATGCAGTGGTGTTCAGAGATGGGGCTTTTGAGAGGTAATTGGGCCATAAGGGCTTTGATCTCATCAGTAGATTAATCTATTGATGGGTTAATAGCTGAATGGACTATTGGGAAGTGGTGGAATAGGTAGGAGGTAGGACCTAGTTGGAGGGAGAGGATCTTTTGGCTGGTAACTTTGGGGATAATATCTTGTCCCCTGTCCCTCTCTCTTTCTGACTCTCAGTTGCCATAAGGTGTGCAGCTTTGCTTCACTATGTGCTCACCGCTAGAGTTCTGCCTCACCACAAGCCCACAGCAATGGGGTCAAGTGACTTCAAATTGAAACCTCTGAAATCATGAAACAAAATAAATCTCTCCTTTTTTAAAATTATTTTTCTTAGATATTTTTATCACAGTGATGGAAAGCTAACACAAAAAATCTTGCAACTACTGACTGAAAAATGTACATATGTCCACACTTTTCTTTTGTCGTTCTAGTTTGGGGGATTGTATAAGTAAATATCTATACATAAGCATCTGTGAGAGCCTCATTGCTAGTTTATTTAACATAAAAAGTTGGAACAATCCAAATGCCTGTATTTGAGGATGCTCAGGTTATGCCCATAAGAAGTTTGCTTAAGTTTTTTCAGTATAGTCACACATCATTTAGTGATGGTGATATGTTCTCAGAAACACTTCCTTGTATGAACATCATAATGTGCACTTACATAAACCTAGATAATAGGTCAATCACTGGACATGACTTTTTTGATGCAGTTAAGAGGTGTAATAAATATAGGATGTCTGGGGCTACTGCTGACACAACATGGTACACTGCTATGGAGTAAACTTCTTTTCCTTGTTAAGTAGAAGTACAGTCTAAACTGATAAAAACCTAGCATAATAAAGACATAACCCAGTAACACAGTTGTGTATTCTCACTATCAAGAATTATGCACAGGATGTAATTGTAGGTATTATATTTTTGTATGACTGGCAGCACAGTGCGTTTGTTCACACCAGCATCACCACAAACATGAGTAATATGTTGTACTATTACATTAAGATGGCTATGATGTCACCGCCACAGGAGTTTTTCACCTTCGTCATAATTCTATGGGAACACCATCATATATGTTGTCTATTCTTGGCAGTAATGTTATGTGCCGCATGCCTGTATTTTATTATAAAAATGAAAATCCATGTATTTTCCATATGGATTCAATCATTGTTAACATTCTGCCATTTATACTTATTTCTCTGCACACACACACACACACACACAATTCCACAAAACTGCCTGATTCATGAACCCTCTCGAATCATGTATTATGGTTCAGATTCTATTTGAACATGTTAAGTGGAGAAGACCTCAGTTCATTCTAGTTTTGGTCAACTGTCTAACAAAGTTTTTCCCTTAAATGCATTCAAACCTGCATTTTTTTGGTGAATGATTATTGAACATAGTTTAATATGCATTTTCTTCAGATTGAAGGATGCTGAAACATAAAAATCTACTTATTAATTAAATTGGTGATATTTCAGTTCTAGATTTTATGTTATCAAACGTGGTAATAATCACAACAAATATTTGGCACGTTTGTCAAAAACTAAATGGTTTTGAAACACCAAGAAGCCGAATTCCAGCTCCCGGAACTGAGCCCGCGGGGGCTGCTTCTTGGAGCTTACACTTATAGGAGCTTACACCGAGCACAGAGCGGCCGAGTTCCGGCTCCCGGAACCGTCCCGGAACCGCCCTGGCTCAGGGCTGCGGAGCCCGCGGAGGCTGCTTCTTGGACCCTGCTACTATCAGAGCATACACCAAACACTAAGCGGCCGAATTCCGGCTCCCGGAACTGAGCCCGCGGGGGCTGCTTCTTGGAGCCTACACTTATAGGAGCTTACACCGAGCACGGAGCGGCCGAGTTCCGGCTCCCGGAACTTCCCTGGACCGGGGCTAGGAGCCCGCGGAAACTGTGTCTCGGTCCGGGTCCTGCTGAAGGCAGGTCAGGACTCACCCATTGCTTGGGTTGCCTGGCAAGGGGAACGAAATGCTGCCATTCGCATAGGATACCAACATGGCAGAGATCTGATGTCAGCAGAAAGCGGTGGAGGAGAGATCTTCATCAATACCAGCGGTGACATAAGCAGTTGGTCTCCTGGTAAGGGGGGTGAGGCTCAGTCACCCGAGTCTCCTCAATTTGTCCTCGAGCCAGAGGGAAGGAGCCGGGCCGCCGCCAGCCCCCGGAGCAGGCCCAGCGGCTCGCCAGCGTGGTGACCGCGTGACCCCAATTGGAGAGGGGGCGGAGCGGAGCCGCCACCCACACCCGCCAGGTGGGCAGACCCACGACCCAGTAGTACATGGGCGTGGTAGGAGGGGCAGGGCAGAGCCGCCCTTCGCGCTTGCAAGGTAAACAGACCTGTGACAGCCTGGCGGGTCAGGCCCAGTGGCCTGCCAGTGTGGTACACACGTCACCCCAACTCGAGTAGGGGCAGAGCAGATCCTTATCCCACGCCCGGATCAGGCCCTGCCGGTGTGGTGGTCACGTGACCCCAATTGGAGTGGGGGTGGAGCGGAAACGCCACCCGTGCCCGCAGGGTGAGCAGACCAGTGATCAACCTGCAGATCAGGCCCAGGGGTCCGCAGGCGTGGTAGGAGGGGCAGGGCAGATCCGCCGCCCGCGCCTTCAAGGTAGGCAGACCTACAACAGACCGGCGGATCAGGCCCAGGAGCCTGCCGGCGGGGTACAAACACCACCCTAATTGGAGTAGTGACAGAGCAGAGTCGCCTCCCTTGCCAGGAACAGACCCAGCATCCTGCAGGCGGGGTAGTCACGACACCCCAATTGGAGTAGGGGCAAAGCAGAGCCTCCACTCGTGCCCGAAAGGTGGGCAGATCTGCGACCGACCAGCAGGACAGGCCCAGTGGCCTGCTGGTACGACAGACACGTCACCCCAATTGGAGTAGGGGCAGAACAGAGCCGCCACCAGCTCCCAGAACAGGCCCAGTGACCTGCCGGCGTGGTAGCCACGACACCCCAATTGGAATAAGGAGAGAGCAGAGCCGCCGCCCGCACCTGCAGGAAAGATACGCAAGCAGTATGAAAAGACAAGGAAAGAAAGGACCACAAGCAATGCAGGTCAACGCAACTTTAGAAGAGGTAACAGCTGCAGCAGATGGAATGTCAGATAAAGAATTCAGGATATACATGCTTCAGATGATCTGGAGTATCAAGGAAGACATTAAACAGCAAAATCAGACAATGAAAGATCACTTCGACAACGAATTACGCAAACAAATCCAGGAAGCAAAGGATCAACTATACAGGGAGATAGAGGTTATAAAAAACAAGCAATCAGAAATCCTAGAAATGCAGGAAGCAATAAACCAACTTAAAAACTCAATGGAGAATACTACCAACAGAGTAGAACACTTAGAAGATAGAACATCAGACAATGAAGACAAAGTATTTCAACTGGAAAAGAACATAGACAGCTCAGCAAGACTGTTAAGAAACCATGAGCAGAACATCCAAGAAATATGGGATAACATGAAGAGACCAAACTTAAGAGTCATTGGGATACAGGAAGGTACAGAGCTCCAAACCAAAGGAATGAGCAGTCTATTCAATGAAATAATACAAGAAAACTTCCCAGACTTGAAGAATGAGACAG